GGATGTACTCTCAAAGGTACAAGGAAGGTCCACAGCATAAAAACTGTAAATCCTGGAATTGTAGCCCATCGCAACAACTCATGCTTTTGTAAGTCATGTTTAGATGGCTTTGGGGAATGTGAAAATTCACATTCCCCAAATATATTTTATTTAGGCATTAAATTAACTCACAATATGCACCATACATAAACCATTGTTGTTTATTTTTTAGTTGGTGACTATGTTGCAGTAATATACGGTGAAGCTTGGTGGCCAGGACAGGTAACTGAAGTTAGTAATAAGGGTATGTGCTGTGTCAGCTTCATGGAGCAGAAAGGAGTTAACCGATTTATATGGCCTGGTAAGGAAGAAAGAGACTGGATAGCACAGTACAGTATATTTAGCAAAATTCCTTCTCCACCCAAGCCTGTAACAAGGCGTTTTCTTGGGTTTGATACAGAAACTAATAATCGAATCACCTTTGAAGTGAAAAATTACCTGAAAGAAAACAGAAAATAATAGTGTCATTGTCAACAAGAACTGAACATTTAACCTTCATATGTCTGCATATGCACACAGCTGCTTAAATTGATTAAATTATGTATTTTACTTACCCACTGTCAGTCAATTTCACCAGTAATTTTAAATTGTTATTGGTTCACTTATCATGTTGCTAATAATTTGATGTTGACAAAACAATGATGTGGTATCTGTGTGTGACATAATATGTTAACCTTGATGTGTCGATGTTATATCTGCAATCATTCATTAAAATCAATGAGTGTTACAAAATGGGGCATCTTGAGCTAAGAAAGCATCATTGAACGATATATACTATTTTAAATGCAGGAATTTTCCCCAAATAATAATAGCTGTATTTTAATGTGAATGTAATTCACGGGATCAGTCTTATTAAATTATATACATATTAAATTTTTATCAAGAAGTTTATTCAGTATACATTTTTTTGATACAGAACTTTTAAAATGTCTGTAAGATCTGACATATTACTTGTAACTTCAGATGCATGCCGAACAAAAGCAAACACCAATTCGCCGATAAATAAAAGGGTCATTCCATGCCAATTCAACGTGGCCGCGGAAGTCACCATCTCAGATTTTGTTTAAATTTTCAGGGTTTGTTGTAACTTCAGTAACTAAGAAAAATCCAAAATTTCAGCTCAATCGGACCAATACTTTCCGAGATACCGGTGTCCGAAAAAGTGGGCGTGGCACCCATTAGAGCCGCCGACGACGTTGTTATTTGGATTCTTTGATTTTTGAAGTGTCATAACTTTTTATCTAGGTCACCTACAAAGCTAAAAATCACAGTACTTGCTCAACTTCAAATAATTACTTAGAAAAACACTTTTCGAATTATGCTCTATCGAACATGGCTTCAGAATGAACGCGACAGAGCTTTCAGCTATTTTTGCTCACCCGTATCTCAAAAACTAGAAGGGCTAACCCAAAACTGTTTTTGATTTCTTATACACTACTAACTTCTGTGTAAGTAAAGTAAATATGGACATAACCCAAGCATGAATACTACCAAATATATGCCTCCCATTATGGTCCAGCCAGAAATTCGACAAATAAGGGTAGTCGCGTTTGGTGGTAGAACCCAATGTGGATTTTGAAATATCAACTTGAAAATTCAGCATAATTAAGTTCAATATATGTTACATTCATAATATTAAAAACATTGTTGTATATTTACCATCTTCTTAAAATATTTTACAGGTCAAAATTACACATAAACACTGGCGACGTTGGCGTTATTTTGATTCTTTGATTTTTGAAATGTCATAACTTTTTTTCTAGGTCACCTACAAAGCTAAAAATCACAGTACTTGCTCAACTTTTTGAGTAGATTCAGATTCTACATTCAGATAATTACTTAGAAAAATACTCTTTGAATTATGCTCTACCAAACATGGCTTCAGAATGAACGTGACCAGGCTTTCAGCTCTTTTTGCTCACCCATATCTCAAAAACTAGAAGGGCTAATCCCAAACTGTTTTTGATTTCTAATACCCTACTAACTTCTGTGTTAGTAAGGTAAATATGGACATAAACCAAGCATGAATACTACCAAATAGATGCATCCCATTATGGTCCAGCCAGAAATTTGACAAATAAGGGTAGTCGCATTTGGTAGTAGAACCTAATGTGGTTTTAAAATATCAACTTGAAAATTCAGCATAATCAAATTTAATATGTGTTACAATCATAATATTAAAAACATTATTGTATATTTACTGTTTTCTTTTTGAGTAGATTCAGATTCTGCATTAAAATAATCACACATTCTTGTAATCATTAGTAATCTTTCTATAATTTTAATGAGTTTTAAAAGCCATACCTTATGCCAATTTATTTTGATATTTAATTTATTTTCCCACTTATTTTCAACGTGTGATTTTACAGATTTTTTAAATATTAGTTGATGATAAAAAAAAGTGCTAATTCTGCTACCGGCTCTTTTTATTTCCTGAATGTCTTTAACTCGCCTCAAGACATCCTCACCAAACAACATGTCAGTATAAAATGGGACAGATGGTGAACAAAGATGAGAATAATCCTTCTTTAAATCGGATTTCATACAGTCCTGTCTTTTCAAATTAAAATTTCGATTTGAGCATCAATGCCCTCCTTATGCTTTGCTATCTCGTTTAACAAATAGGTCAAACATGTTGATTCTTTTACAAGACCAGTTTGCACAGTTTCCAGTTTTGAGTCCAGCGTACGTGATTCAGGTCTAATAATATCCCAAACCAGCTGGTTGACCCTGACATTAGATAGGCCCTCGCAATTCTCTGGCCTACTAGTTTTCTTTGTTAGGTCATTACACTTGTCCTCACTAGTACCCTCTCTAAAAAGGGTATTAACAATATTAGCTAGATCCTGGTCTTATCAAGGAGGTATTAAATAAGCTGGAGAAACAACGACCATCAACTCTAATTACACCCTGCTGCGAACCTAGCCTTAGGCTAGGCAGAACAAATGCGCCGCCAATTATAGCCGCTCGTTAACGACTGATAACGACTCCTTTGCTTCCTAATGTGTTTCACCGCTTCACGTCGACCGCACGAGTTTGTTGATTGTCAAGTGGAGAAAACAAGTATGAACAAACAATTGCAGGCTTTACCAAAGTAGCTGCGCAGTTGGAAGTTCATAGTTCATTCTTTGTCTTACCAATGCTCTTGTTCTCAGAATAAATTCTTTAATATAATATTGAAAACCTCATTCAAATCCAATCATTTATACAGAAGTTACAGGTTTATGAATAAAAGTGATTAATTATAGAAATTGTCAATAATAATGCATTTTAAATGAAATTTTCAGTGCTTTCCGTATGTTTCCTATGGCCGTTGCTTCGTGATTGGTCTTCTAAACTATTGTTTGTTTACGTCATGTTGAGATAATTGGTGCCGAAGACTGCCGTATCTGGGAAACTACGAAGAGAACAGACTGCATTTTTTAGCAGATATACAGTCGGCGAAATACCTGTGTATTTTGCTGCATTATATTTGCGTTTCACGAGAAGATTAACATGATTAGGCGCAAAGTTCAAAGGCAAGCGTTATCAACCGCCGTCGTTTGTCCAAAAGTTAGGACTGATTAGGCCTGCATAATTATATTGAGTACAATGCCTCTTTCCTGATTGTTTCGACCACTGATTCGACCAATCAGGAATGATGAACAAATTTGTTAACAGTACTATTAATGGATCATCCCAAGGAGGTGATACCTCCTTCACCCATGCATCATCCAAAGAGGTATTACAGCATATTTAATAAACTCATCATAGAGGTATTCACGTTAACTCCAAAACAGCCAGCAATACCTCTTTTTACAGCCAGCAAAGAGTCCAGAGAAAACTGAGGTTTAAATGTTCTACCTACAAGGGTGAGTTCAAGTATATTATTATAATTATTTATAATTACGATTTAGGCCTAATTATTTAATTAGGCCAAGGAGATATCTCGGAGTATTTTTACAATTTTGCCTATTTATTATTACTATATTGCTGTATTTTTATTACTACTATTATTGCTAATGAGGTATTATTATTGATTACTTAAGCAGCATAATTTCACGTAATTTTACGTTTCTCTTTAATTTTTTGTTAGACGTTAGAGAGAGAATGCGAGATGTCACATTGCGATCGTCTTGAGGGTTTGTGCCGCATTTGTGGTTCAGTCTTAAAAAATGCACCGGGGAGGTCGAATTGGATCCCAAAAGAAAAAAGAGCAAAACTAATAATGGCCGCTTTTGATATTGACATAGAAAACGATGTTGTGGATGTTCATCCCCCATATGTTTGCGACATATGTAGAAGAAAGTTGGACAGATGGCACAAAAAGAAGGCATTGTACAAGTCGACCACAATTGACAATATTTTCTTGGCCAGTTTTCAGAAGCACGATGATGCCTGCAGAGTTTGTCAGCATTCTGATAACACAACACTAAAAGATGCCGTCAAAAAAAGCGCAGAGAGGTACGGGATGCAATTTGAATTTGAACAGGAAGACAGTTTTTGCTACAAGATAAACCTTCGAACAAGACAGGTAGAAAAATTTATTTCTATAAAAGCAGACGGTATTTGGACTTTGCACGTAAGAGACGAACAAATACCCACCAGTATTTTTACAGACATTAACAATCCCACTACCTGCCATCAAGTAGATGCTGTAATAAAAGTTGTCAAAGAATCCATATTCTGCATCGGGAACTGTGACTTACAGCCAATCATGGATGAATACAATTCCGGATTACGGCCACTACAACGTACTGTACGTCATAAAGATTGCAAAATTATTAGTGATCGTCTATCACCTCGATGCAGTACGTGTGCAATTCACAGATCAGATCTATATAAGCTAAGAAATGCCGGCAGAAATGCAGTATCTTCAGTTAATGCATCGTCAAAGGTGCGCAATGACTTTATGTCGCACGCGCAACTTTGTGAAAAGACAAAAAATGAAATTTAAACAGAGAAGTGCGAAATTAGAGTTGCGGGTGCAAGCAGATTTCAAGAAATCAAGTGTCGAGCTTAATGGGCAAGACAACAGTGTTTTGGAGCAAACAATGTTGATGTCAAAAGAAGAAATGCTCAAGCTACTGCCAGAGGGATCAGCGGCTAAAATGCTGTGGGATGAGCAGTTACGCGTCTTGGGAAAAGACGATTCCAGGCAAATGAGGTGGCATCCAGCAATGATCCGGTTTTGCATTGCCATTCAGCATAAGTCCTCTGCAGCTTACGATCTCATTAGAAAATCAGGATTTTTGTGCCTGCCTCATCAGAACACACTTCGCAGGTAAGTTATTTATTTATTATTTAAATAGTGAGCAATAAGCGTAAGGTGTTGACTATGAAAAAATTGCGCTCGGCCTACTTAATTTATTGTCTAACATATTTAACATTACTTTTCAGGTATGTACACTACACAACATCCCATGCAGGTATCAACAATGACGTTCTGAAAAATATTGTAAAGAAAGCCAATTTTGGAATGGGGTTTCATCGACGCTATGTAAGTTTAGTCTTTGACGAAATGAAGCTTAAGAGTGGGCTGGTTATTGGTAAAGGGAGTGGCAGGCTTGTAGGTGTTGTGGACTTGGACACAATCAACAACGAGATGCAGCATTTCGAGGATAAATACAGCAAGAACAAAGACGCTGATGTTGCTTCACAAATGCTTGTATTGATGGTAAGAGGGATATGCAGTAATATCCACGAACCCCTATGCTACTACCCAGGGAAAGGAGCTCGCGGCGATCAGCTAATGAGCATAGTGCTCAATGCTGTCAACATCCTAGAGTTGCAAGGGTTTCGTGTGAAAGCACTAGTAGGAGATGGTGCGTCAGCAAATAGAAAAATGTTTTCCATGTTGTCTGATGCATCAAAAGGACGAGAAGAAACTTACTTGTGTGACCACCCAATTCAGGAAGGGGAAACATTGGCCTTTTTCTCGGATGTCCCACATCTGATAAAAACTACGCGTAACAATTGGGAAAATTCTGGCTGGAACAAAAAGTCAAGAAATTTAAAGGTAGGGATTCACTAATTCATTAGGATTCTATTTTAATCATTATAAGCATCTTTCTAGCAATAATCACTCACATGGTTCATATCTGCATACAATGAAATAGAATATAAGTTAATTTTCATTCATTATTACCTGTATACATTGTCTTACATGGATTTTGTAGTAAAACGTTTATTTGTTTTTAGTTGAAGGGTAAACCAGTTTTGTGGAACCATCTTCACAAGCTGTATGAGTGGGATTCGGGTATTGAGCGACAAACCCCGGGACTGAGAATGCTACCGAAGCTGTCACACGAGCACGTGCATTTGACACCAGCTTCACGCATGCGAGTATACCTAGCCGCTCAGGTAAGTTACGTATGGAGCAAGGAGGTATTTAATACCTCCTTGGTATGAGTATTAATTTTTTTTTAGGTGATGAATCTGCGACTGACCAAGGGAATACCTCCTTCTACCCGTCATCGGATCGTGCTTCGGTCACTGAACCACATTAAAGTAAGCGTGCGAACGTACACGTGCGTGTGGCGTGTGTCACAGTTGATGGAAAAATTCACGCATAGACGATGAATAGTAGTTCCTGACCTTTCATTGACTTTACAAAGCAACTGTTACCTTTTTGTATTTGTGACAATGTATTTATCTATCCTATACATGTAGGTTCTCAGCCAAAGCGTTGCTAATGCATTGGAGATGCAGGGGAATGTCGAGACCAAGTCCACGCAATATTTCATCGAAATGTTCAACAAATTTTTTGATTGTATGAACGTATCCAACACTTTAGAGTGGAAAACAAAAAGAAGACCTAACCAGAAGCCTTATGAATGCAAAGATGACCCTCGATTTGAAGTAGGTTAGCTTATATATATATATATCTGTCTCTTATACACATCTAGATGTGTATAAGAGACAGATATT